CCCCAAAACCCCAAAACCCCAAAACCCCGTGGATCTCTATGATGAAAAAATTGAAATTATTTCAAATCGTTTTAAACATACAAAAATTTTATCGAAGAATCAAAAGCTAGAGACTCAATTTCCTCAAATCATTATATAATTTCAGTTTAAAGCTTGAAAGAATCCCCTTTTGAAAAAGTATGAGATCTCCATATTAGATCACATTATTTTCTTTAGCATTTCGGTTTTTTAGATGGCTTAAATTAGTCTGGATCATATTATGCTTAAAAAAAACCTTCTGATAAAACTTTGATATAGAAAATCTTTCCTACTCCATCTTCATTTTCTAACAAAATATATTTCAAGTCTCCTTCTTTATCTACATAAAATTTGATATCAGTTTTCACCAATTCAATGAAAAACTATACGTAAATTTAATTATAAAAAGCATACAGATGCGTTAAAAACAAAGTAGCAAGTAGAATCATTGAGATAATCTGACGCAGGAACTTACTTAATCTCAGAAAACACAGAATTGTTAAAAATTTGCTCTTTGTAGTAAGAATAATTTTGATCTTTAGGAATGTGGCCTTAAGATTTATTGAAGCGGCAGCAATCAATCCCAGGAATATAATCATTGATATATCCGTCTCCTTATAGTTCCCCAAAATCAACTTTAATTCCGGCTAAATTAGCATTGTAACCACCCTCCAATTGGATATAAGCTACTCCCAATATTATTTCCTACCCAACAATATCTTCGCTAACGCTAAATATAGAAACAAGACTTGCATTATCTTAGGGGATTAATGGTTGAATATCTCCTCCATTTTGCTAATAGTAAATAGTTGCATTCAATTAGTATTGACCATGAGGAACTTTAAGAACTGGCGGTGTTGCCGCTGGACAGTCACCTTTTACATTAGTTGATAGAGCTGCTAATGTGAATAAAATGGATAGGAAGAGTTATTTCTAAGCTTAACTATAATTGCCACTCATTGCTATTTGGACCTTGAATCTCACTTTGGATATTAAAATTAATTAAATATATTATAGATTTGGCTAATTATTTTAAAATCAGAATAAGCGAAATCTCAAGCAATTATGCTCATGGGGTTTTGGGGTTTTGGGG